ATTCGTTCTCATTTCGCAATTTTTTCTGAGTAGTGGAGCGAGTCCCATTATCTCTCCTCCGTGGTCCATCCGGACCACAATTTTTTTTTTTTTTTTTTTATTTTTTTTTAGGAACTCGTATATTTCAAAATTCAATTGTCTTTAAAAAAAAAAAAAAAAGAATCAATTGACGAGGCCGGGGACCTCACAATCCAACCCGGAGTTATCCCTGCAGCATCAGCCGGTTTAGACAATTTAAATTTAAAAAAAAACGGTGGTAAAACACTAAAAAACTTGAACGGAATTCTTTTTTATTTTATTATATATAATAATTAATGAATTTTTCAATTAAAAAAAGAAAGCTTGAAGGGGAAATGGTACTGCATAAGAACGACACGTGGCACATGAGACGGGGAAAAAGAGGAGAGGGAGAGTAGTAGTACTACCCTCATACCGCACCCTCATAATGATAGTATCGAGCCGGAAATGTAGTCTGTATACATTCATTGTGAGGGTTCAGTGTGTTCGAGGGAAGACTGTCGAAACAGTCCACCTCTTCTTCGTCTCGTGTGCCACGTGTCGTCCTTATGCACTACCATTTCCTTTTTTTTCGTTTTTGTTTTTATATATTCTACCACTTTCTTTTTTTATGTAGTTCGATGGACCATTAGTAGTAGTACCAGTACCTTCTTCACCTGAATACAACGTATGATCATTATAGCTGTATTGGGGGTAACTTCAAGTCCAGATACAGCTATATTGACCGTATGTTGCATTCGGGTGAAGAAGGTAGAACTAGTACTACAATCTTCCCCCGAATACAACGTACGGTCATTATACCTGAATTTAGACTGAAAGATACACCAAACTCAGGTATAATGACCGTACGTTGTATTCGGGGGAAGACTGTAGTACTAGTAGCAATAGCAGGAGGAGGAGGAGGAGGAGGAGGAGGAGAAGGAGGAGGAGGAGGAGAAGGAGAGGAGGAGGAGGGGGAGGAGGGGGAGGAGGGGGAGGAGGAGGAGGAGGCGGATGAGGAGGAGGAGGAGGAGGAAGAAGAGGAGGAAGAGGAAGAGGAGGAAGAGGAGGGGGAGGAGGAGGAGGAGGAGAGGAGCAGGAGGAGGAGGGGGAGGAGGAGAGGAGCAGCAGCAGGAGGAGGAGGAGGAGGAGGACAGGGACGAAGAGGAGGAAGAGGAGGAAGAGGAGGAAGAGGAGGAAGAGGCGTAGGGTGCAGATACCTACCACCTCTTGCGACCGACAGGACTCGTCTACTGCGAGTGCATGCCAGCAGGTCATCAACCAAGAAGATGAAATCGATGGCGAGAAGAACCGACTTTCAGACGATGACATCGATGGTCAACAACCAACCGCACGTGGTAGGGTCGTACGTTGCATGTCCGCAAAGACGAGAGTTCGATCCCTGGCTCAGACATCAATCATCCATGATTTCCCAGCAGACGTGGTGAGCGCGATGAGGTGAGCGATGGTGGCGTGTAGCGATAGTGTCAGTCCACGAATGCAGGGGTACGATAGGTACGTGGTTACTGACGCCCAACACGTGCATGCGCATCTCAAGGACAACGTGTCCCCACAACAACACCCCCCCCCCCCCTCCTCCCCTCCTCCCCTCCTCCCAAGCCTCTCCTCATACCCACCCCCCACAACTGGCCTTCCCCAGCCCAGGTCTTTGCACTGCCCCCACCATAACAGCCCCCTTCCTGCCCTGCCGTCTCCAATGCTTCACGGAGGTGGTCGGGTGGAGGGGGAGAGAGAAAGGAGGGGGTTGGGATAGGGATAGGGAGGGGGGAGGGGGGAGGGGGGAGGGAGGGGGGGGACAAATAACGATACGCTCAATGATGAGAAATGAGAAAGTATGGGCCTCCCTCCAGACCGAATACTCCACTCGACATCGCCATATTTTTTTCGTCTTTTGCGCATGTGGAGGGAGAGCTGTGGAGCGAGGCCCTATGTCGCACATATGTCGCACATATGTCGCACAAAGTCACACGAATGTCGCACAGTGTCGCACAATTGGCCTGCGACGCTCTTGTAGATAGGCCAGCGGCTGATTCCTCCCTCAAAATTTTTGGCGCTACCGATCTTTGGGTGGCTGTGAAGAAGTCGCCGATCGAAAATGTGAAAAGGACTAGGTAAAAAGAAAACTATAGTGCTTATGTATGTGGACACGATATTGACGAAAGTACAGTCCGTTTTTTTTTTCACATTTTGGCGAGCAGTGCGGTTAGCAGCCCTGAGAGCTTACAAATTAGGTAGGTGAGCACAGCGACGCGGGACACACACATAATGGAACAGCTTTCCATATTAGGAATTTAGGACAGTGGCAAAAAAAAGGGCCCCACGCCACCCGAAAAAGCAAAACCACCAACCGCCAGACAGCCAACTAAAGAGGTAGAGTTCTCCTTTCTCCCAAAAGTGGGTGAGCTCTCAACCCCAAAAGCGAAATTCTCAACCCAAAAAGGTAGAGAGAAAAAGCCCATGGCCCACCCATGG